TTTAAATTTACATTACAATAAATAAAATGATTGATTTTTTTAATTAATTTTTGTAAACTTTTTTTTAACAAAAATAACGATCATTATTCATATCGGCAAATTTTAAGAATTGGAATCGGTTTAGTCGACTAAAAAATCCGCATAGAATATTTAGTTGACTAAACCGATTCCAATCCCTATTTTCGACAATAAAATGAACGTTCACTTAAACAATAAGTTTGAATCCAATATAAAAAAATAAACTAATAGTGGAAGTGTGAATATAAAATGAAAAAAAAAAAAATTAGAATAAATTATTGTACTAAAAATAACAGTTCTTTCGATAGATTTTTTTTTTATAATTTATCAACCAATCATATTTTAGAAAAATCAATCAAATGATCTACGAAAGCTAGCCAATCACATCAAATGTTCGCTATGCTGTTAAAATCACTATTCCATATAAAATATCACCAATCTGATGAAACATTCCCTAAAAAAAATTTAAAGAGCAAAGTAGGGTAAGAGAAAATATGAGAAGAGGATCTTTAAAAGAAAACAAATAAAAATATGACTAAACTAAAAATAGAAGTCTAAAGTACAAATATAAAATTAAAGAATCTATCTATCAAATTAGTATCTGCTAATTAGAATACTTTTTTAATATAGCATTTATATAGAACTCAATTAATATAAAAACTAAATAACATGTTTATAGACTGCATATCTTTTATTCTTTTTATCAATTCAATTTTAAATTTATATTCTATTTCAAAGTATAATGAATCAATTACTTTATATGTTCTAACTATTTCTGTTTCATCTACTTGGTTAGTAAGTTTTACTGTTTGAATCATTAAACTATACAGAGCAATATTTTTAAATAGAAAAAATTATTATGTTGCTATGTATTTGTTGTAGTCATATCATAGAGTTACCAAATATGAAAATAGTAAACAATGCTGATCTTTTAATAGAGGTAGCCAAATCTTCTATTTTTTATTAAAAATTTAGTTTTAGAAATATCAAAGCAGCAAAAAAAAAATAGGTTGTATTGTTGTAAAGTTTTTAACCATAGTAAGTATTTTTTGGATTGTTTTTTTTTATTCTTTGTTCTTTTATTATCCTAAGTTTTTTTATTTAATTGCTACCAGAATAACTCTTCTAGCTTGGATGCTAAATATAGAAAGAGTCTATTAAAAAAGTAAGCTTAACCCAGATTACAAACACTTCTCTAATACATGCTTCTCAATATATCATATTGGAGGTTTCATTAACAGCAACTGAAAAAAACTTGAATAGTTTTAGGTATTAGACTTTGAATTTTTCAACTTAATTTGTGTAAGAATAATAGATTCAAAGTGATTATCAAAGAGAGTTGTATATATTTTTTGTTGAGTTCAGGTTTATAATATAGATTTTTTATTTAACTTTTATTTTTAAAGAGTTTTTTTAAAAAATATAGATTTTTTACTTATTTTTTCTTATTTTTTATTTTAAAGATTTTTTTATATTTTAATTATATAAATTATATATATTGTTATTATATATGTTAACAAAATTATTTTGAATTTAAAACCTAAAATTAAAATAAAACCAAAATTGGTTTTGATCTATTTTTTTAAAAAATAAAATTTTTTGACTTTTTTTTAAAGAAATAAATTATAAAAAATATAATTATCTAAATTAGATTTGCTTTTATATATAAAAATTCCAATTTTCTTTAATAAAACAAAATAGAGGTTTTTTAAAATTTATTTCAGTGCTAAATATAATTGTTATAGTGTAAATTTATAGTAAAGTTAGAAAATTTATCAAATTAAAAATCAATACTGGTATCAATAATTATATCAATTCTACTGAACTAGATTTGTCAGCAGACCAGAAGGCTAACCTTATCTACCAACTACAACATCATGAGATATTTAATGCTGTAACAATACAGCCTTCATTACACTATTTAAAACTTACAATTAAAGGCTTAATTCCTAACTCTATAGTGCAAATAGTTCAAAATTACCATATATCTTATAAACAAGCATCTCATATCATTATTGAATTATTATTAAAAGTTAACGAACAAATATATAAATAACTTTGGAAATCCTACTGCATCAATTTCTCTAATTAGAAAAACAACAACAAATAATGTATCCTTACTTCAAACCAAAAGATTCATCATCAACTGCTAATAAGAAAAAATGCTTTCAAATTAACTACATATACTCTTGCTAATGTGAAACAGCAGACCAATTACATTCTCATTCAGGTATTTGTTCTTCTGTAGGTTAAGCTAAAGGAAAATTAATATTTGGTATAAACACTAGATCAAATATAGTACAACTTTAAACTTCATTTTAATTTTAAAAATTTAGATAAGTTTTTGACCACTCTAGTGGGTTTAGATTACAGATAAATATATCTAAGCTTCTATTCTTGCATGTAGTTTTTGTTTTTATTTGTACTTGTACAAATAGTAGTATCTCTATAATGTAGTTACTATTTTTAAAATTACTAATAAAGATATAAGTAAGGCCTCACCTTAAAAAAAAAACAAGTTTTATAACAGAATTACTTACAATAACTTACAATAATAAATCTTATAATAGAATTTTGTTTATATTAATTTGTGATAGAAAATATATTAATTTTAATATAGGTTTATTTTAATTTAAATATAAATGTTTTATAACAAAATTCTTTCAAAAAATTATAAATAAGTTATATTCATTTCAATACAAACTTACATTAGCTATTCTTATAATAATCTAAATAGTAAGTAAGTTCTGTAAGAGAATTCTTAAATACTCAATAAAAATTATTAATGTTAGCAATTAGATAAGGTACTGCTATTTGTACCATAATTTTTGCTATTTGCACTATTAGTTTAACCAGAGTTAGGGTTAGTTCCAGTCAAATTAATAGTATAAATAGCAAAAATTATAGTGCAAATAGCAATTTCCTTAGATAAATTTAGATATATAAAATCTTATTTAAACAATTTGGATATATAATTTTTATATGTTTATATATCTATGTCTAAATAAAATTTTTTATTACTATATTTTCATATAATAATGCACAGGGATGTAATTCCAAATTTTGGCCTAAATTAAGCTTAATTCAGGTCAACATTTGAAATAATGCTAATGGGTATTATTATGTGAAAATATGGTAGATATTGTTTAAATGCCAATACTAAAAATTATGATAATTTTAATGCAAGATAACTTCTCTTAATACATACTAAAATAGAGAGTAATTTTTGTAAAAAATTATTTACTAATTATTTATAATTACTAAATTTTTGAACAATAAATTTTATAATTTCTTCTGCATTTGATTTTTTGTACAAGCTTCTTATTTAAATTTAATTGCACACCTGTACATTTATATTTAAAACTTCTCTTGTACAAAAAAAAATTAGGAGAATTTATATATAAAAAACCAAAAATGAAAATAATTATGGATGAGAACCCAAATAAAAATTATTATATATAGTGATCCAAAATCAAAAATTATTACAAATAAGGGTCTGTCTGATCTCTGAGCTATACTAGGTGACTAAGCTACAAAACTTATATAGCATCGATAGCATCGCCCAGAAAAATAGTAGCCGGATTAAAATAATTATACAACATCACTAAAATAGCTTTAAGATGTAATTAATTTTTTTTACATGAAAAAACTAAAGGTACTATTCACAAATCTCACTAACAAAATTATGACTACAAATTTTAATGCGTTGATTAAAAAAGATCCTTATACATAACTAAATAATACGAAAAAGCTATATTATGCTGTAATTATTTTGAACATTAAAATTCTTTGTATTTACTGGCTAAATTAACTCGAGGTGGGACCGTTAATGTTACACAACTAATCCCACACACGGTGTGATCAATTTAAAATAGAATTATTTATGTTGAACTCAATTCTATAGTCTATGTGATAAATATAATCCCTCACCGGTTTTAAAATGTGTGTAACATTAACGGTCCCTCCTCACATTAATAATAAAATATTCATGAACTTAAATAGCTTATTTAAACGATTGATCAAAATTATATTTTTGTGAATTCAACACGGCAAAAAATTCTCAAAATAAAAGTAAAAATCAAAATGAAAGACAAAGTGAAAGTCATAATGAAAGCCAAAATGAAGTTAAAGCGAAAGTCAAAATTAAACGAAATTAAAGCAAAAGTCAAAATGAAAATCAAAGCAAAAGTCAAAGTCAAAGCAAAAATCAAAGTAAAAATCAAACCAAAGTTAAAGCGAAAACCAAGTGAAAGTCAAAACAAAGATCAAAGTTCTAATGTTTCGATAGCAACTTACCGGCAATCAGTTTTCGAAGTCATGTGTAACCAAAAAAAATCTGGCTACCATTTTTCTAGACGGCGCTATGTACCAGTAAGTCTTGTAACTAGTCGCCACAGCTCGGAGATCGGACAGGCCCTTATTTGTAATAATTTTTGATTTTGGGCCACTATATATAATAATTTTTATTTTGGGCCCTCATCCGTAATTATTTTCATTTTCAGTCCTTTATATATAAATTCCTCAAAAAATTACTTGCATATGCAAATCTTATGCATAGTAATTTAAACACTGTGGTGAGTTAATAGAAATCAAGCAAATTTTTTATAATAAAAATTTTTTATGACTTTAAACAAAAATAATTTAACAAAATAACCAAATTTAATAAAAATTTTAAATAATTTTTACAAATTTGTAGAATTAATTTAAAAAAAATTTATTAAATTTGATTAAATTTTTGTTAAGTTATTCTTGTTTAAAGTTTTAAAAATATGACAAATTTAGCAAATACTAATTCTTTATTGAAAATACGATTTATATGCAAAGATGATCATTACTTAAGAGTAACTATTACATTAAAAATAAGGATTCATATTATCTGATTTAAAATTATCTATAATCGATTAGATATAACATAAACGTCAAAACAACTTTTTAATATCTTCAAGTAATTTAACATAATTCAAATTCTTGGCATCAGAACTAATTGTATTCCACCATTCGGATTTTCCATTAACAGCCCAAAAATCTAATATATCTTGCACTCGTCTCTTAAAGTTCTCTGGAGCCATATTAAAAGATATCCTTTCAATTGATGAGGGTTGATGAAGCATCAGGTAAAGTGACCGGACCAGACATATCAAATCAATTGTTGGATCATAATTAATTTGTTCATCATTAAGTAATGATCTAAGAACATTGTCGGGCATGCATTCAAGAGCTCCTGCAAATGGCGAATTTTCACCTTGTGTTTTACTATATCCCCAGTCAGTAATTAAAATATTGCCAGCATCATCACGAAGCAAGTTATACTTTCGAAGGTCCATATGTACAAGCTGGAAATTAGAATGTACTATTTTAAGGGTTTCAACGATGTTTTCAATATCTTCAATTTGTAGGTTATTGATTTTAGTGCATAGAGGAGTCATAACAAGAGTATCGTCATTGCTCAGAAGGAGTTTTGGAAGATAAGGCGAATTCAGATCCGACAGTCTAGTCAATGCATTCTTTTCGTTGATAAAGCAAGATAAGTATTCTTCATTTTTGGCTTTTTTTACGACTACAGAACTTTCACTATTCTCAAGAATTCCCTCATATACAATGCTAGTTCTACCTGAACTAATAGATCGAACCAATGTTACAATAGTTCCATCAAGATTTATTGAAGGTTCAATCCATCCCAGCTGATCCGGAGAACTTTGCATGATTGTCACCAAATATTTCCATCCGTTCGGAGGCTCGGAATTGTTATATGTTAATGACGCGGACGCCGTGTATCTATATGAGAATCGATTATTGTCTTCTCTAGTTATTCTGTAGATTCTTATGATAATACAATCCGTTAACACCGCGTATACATGCTGTCGTCGTGGTTGAAGCTGGAGCACTTTTTCACCAAAAGCTACTGCGTGTCCTATATCAGCATTTTTAAAATGATTACCGGTTCGCTTTCTTATTTCACCGACAGCTACAACATTCAATGGATCTAGAGGCCTTCCTTTTTGAACAAATACAAAATCTGGTTTTCGAGTATCCAGCAATGGTGTAGAATATGTATCTCCAACATAAAGTTGTATCTCTGGTAATGATTTTAATGCCGTACATTCATCTATAAAGTATTCTTGTATTTCATCCTCACTTGGTTTTGCGCCTGAAAGGTTGGGTGGTTTCTGAAACTTTCCATGTGAATTTCGTCTACGAATTTGGGTCAGTTGGAGTGGGAAATCCATTTCTGCACTATGAGTTATTACCCGTTTGCCTTTCTCAGTTTCCGTATCAATACCTAAAGACAATGGCATATATAATTGAACGCATTGCAAAGTATTGTTTATGGATCAAGTGAACAACATACTAGGTGAACTAAGCCATGCTTCTGCAAAATAACGTACTTTTTTCATCTCACGTCTAAGTTCGCCAACGACTTTCTCAATATGTCTTTTTAAAGATACTGCAAGAAAATGAGAAAATGAGATATTGTGAAACAAATAAAAATATATCAGAAGTTACCTTGTTCTTGATTACCACCTAAGAAAATGACAGTGAAAAAAAATCATTATATATTTGGAATATCCGATATTATTGTGAAAGAAAGATCAAGCCATTTCGTGTTCACCCGCGTTGACCAAAATTATTACGACCCACTTACCAGCACTAGGTTGCTCTACGATAACACGAATGTGTTTTTTGGGGATTTAACGATAAGAAGCGGGCAAGAATAAGGTATTATTGGCAAATATATAAAAGCGCGGGGAAAAAACGAAGCTTGCTTACCTCCTTTAATTTTATTAATCAACTTTTCGATTTCCTTAGCTGGACTACCCGGTATCCCCCATCTCTCATAATCAACTGCAGTAAAATCCAGGAAAGTACTACCCCTAACCCTCTGAGTATATATTTTATCGATATCACTGTCATCAAGATCTAATCTAGTTTTGTTCCCTTGTAAAAACGCTTTAACGACATCTCGACTCCATTCCTTCACTTGTTCAACTGTCGGAAGATTTGATGTGGCGTCACTTGCACTTGAAACGTTAGATGACATAGTCTTTGCGATTAAAGAGAGTGAAAGAGTAACGTGACATAGTCGCGCTAGAATCAGGAACTTCTGGCGTTTGAGTATAATTTTATGCATGCAGATGCACGTGAAAATGTGATCATTATGATTATACTGTCCAATCAAATGTAAAATTTTGTCTACATCATTCTTAGCATGACTACATTCACGTTTTATTAGTTCCGAACTTTTAGTAACAACTAAATAAGATTGTATTTCTCCGAATTTATTAGACCAAAACAAAGCGATCAAGGCTCACCCTGCACTAGGGTTGGGGCACGGGGCACGAGGCATGCCTTTCGGGCATGCCCCTAGGCATGCCCTTTTTCAAAAAATTTATATATGTAAAAAATTGTCACGTAAAAAATTTGGGGGGCATGCCTCTAAATCAAAAAAACCAGAGGCATGCCCATGGGGCATGCCGAAAATTTTTCCGTGCCCCCAACCCTACCCTGCACGCGTTTGCTTAGTAAAGGATTGTTTTATTTATATGATGTTTTAATGAAATTTCTATAGAAATTTGAACTTGGAATAGTAAAAGAAGTAAAGATTCTCCTTAAAACTCACAAATAGTTAAAACCCAATAACTTATTGAAATTTCAATATAAGTTGTGTTTCGAAATTATCTATTTCTATCAAATAATAATTTTGGTTTAAGAATTTTATATATTCCGTAATATTCAACTCATTCAAATCGCTATCTGTTAAATAATTAAAATTAATAATAAAAAATGAGGTTTAATTATTGCAGTATTGAAAAAAGAAAAAAAAATAGATACCTTTGATAAAATATAGTATATTTAGTGATGCTTTTATAAAAGTCGACAGGATAAGATTGTATAAGCGTACTTTTAATATTTTCTAATATTACATCAGATTTAGTTAATTCAGATAAAAATATTTTCATTATTTTGCCATTCTATAAGAATTTCACAGATTTTGGTAGCTGATGGGCGGTTGATTGGTTCTCTCTCCCAACATTTATTCATTAGACCTATGTAACATCGTGGAATATTCTTAATAATTGTTGGCCGTAAATCATTATGGCATATTTCTAATTGAAGTTGTATTCCAAATTCTTGATTGTAAGATACAGATGTTCCGTATAAAATTTCCCACATCATTATTCCAAATGAGTAAATATCTGATGCTGTTGAGTATTGTCCTCCGTTTAAAATTTCTGGAGCTATATATGGTAAATTCCACAAACTCCACGTTCCCTTTCTGTAATTAGTGCAATATTTGCTGATGTTGAAAGTCCTAAGTCTGCAATATAAGCATTATGTAAATTATCCTGTAGAATATTACCGCTATGCAAATCTCGATGAATAAGTTTTTGAGAATGAATTATTTGAAGGTCCCAAGCAATGCAATGTAACAATGTTAACTAATTCTTCCATTCCATTTGTGCTACTGCGTGAAGATTACTGCGCAAAGAACCCATTTCTGCATATTCTAAGACAAGGATATAGTCACCAGAAGAATCTTTCGATATTCCATAGCACCTTAAAAATGATGGATTTTTATTGCCAATATTACAATATGTTTCTAACTTTATTAAAAAAAATATATACACTTAATATGAGATGAAACTAAATCACATGAACATATAATGTGTCGGATAAAGAAAGATAAAAATATAAAATCACCTCTTTTATAAATCCTTCATTACAAGTTTTCGATCCGTGAAATAATTTAAGTGCAAATTTTCTCCACGCATTTGGTCTTTTATCCAACCATCTGGCATAAAAAACTGTTGCAAATCCACCTTGTCCTATTTTTTTGATATCCATTAATTCACTATATGAAATCCATAACAATGAATATTCTTCTTCCAATAATTTTCGTATATTATTATCAATATTAGGATTTTCTTTTTTCCATTCGTCTCTAGCTATAAAATATTATTAATATTAATAATTTTGTTAATTTGTGAATTAGGTGAATCAAATGATATTTATTTAATTACCCGGCATCTTATCCTTTTCCCTGTCATTATCAGAAAATGTATATCATAAAGTTATAATTTTGTAAAAAATTATATAAAGTTTAAAAACAAAATTATTTACATTTGACACCAATGATCAGCCTTCTGTGAGTCTCTTTGTACTCCATTTCCATTGCGGTAACAATATCCACATCCCATTTCTGCAGATTTTTGATAATAAATGTCGGGGATGATGCTGAAATTGGATGATGCTGAAATTCACGTGATCACATGATGATCTTCCGCATAAACACCTAGGGTATGAAAGGTTTTTTCTTTATTTTACATATATTACAGCTAATTCCACTAGGGCAATTAAAATATGGTCATACCCAAACCCTAACCCTAACATGAACAGTGAAATTTTTTAGTTGGTGATGCTAGGTTTATCTATACGGAAGATCATCATGTGATCACGTGAATTTCAACCCAATTCCATAAAGATAACAGTCACCAAGTGCAAATATTCCACTAGCGTCCCCCATTTCTGCAGATTTTTGATACCAAACAGATACCTTATGTTCATCCTTTTCAACTCCAATTCCATTTTTACAACAATGTCCAACATCATATAAATAAAACAATCCTTTACTAAGCAAACGCGTGCAGGGTAGGGTTGGGGGCACGG